ACTCATTAGTAAGCAACATCAGATCAGAGTGGCAATCATGTCCAAAAAGTTGAGCCCCAAATTCAAAACAGAGTAAAAAAAATGTTTGTGTTTTTTTAGTTGCCAATCCGGTCAGATCGGGGTGTACCCACAAAAAAATTGGCGGTTGTTTAAGAAAGAGACGATGTATAGAGGTAGTAGAGGATCCAATTACATGTCATGTCGATAGAGGGGCAATCATAATCACACTCAATGTCGCTAACACATAAATTAATGATAACATGGGTTATATCAACATCGATTTCGGTGAAGGGAATAGTTTGCCGATGTCCATGGGTATCTTTGAGGGTGTGCGAGGTGGGCGACCGCACATAGCCCATATCGTGGAAAGGACCCGATTTTTACATACAATTCGTTATAGTAGACTACTAGTCCAAGTCCTGAAAACAAATCGATTCAAAGGTGTCATCGCCACTCAGTATGATTATCACCGATCAAAGTCGAAAGTCACTACGATGCTACTCCAACTCTTGAACTCACTAAGTCATTGAGAGAGTGTGTGTTTGATTGTCGATTAATTGATTGTTTCAAAATAAGTGCACCATATGATTTAGAAATCAAAATTATAGGTTTCAAAATCTAATAAGATCACTCAAGTTTAGAATTTCTTCTAGCCTTCAATTTGAGATTATAAATTAATTAATTATTTCAATTTCAAAAATAAGAATCGGTTTTCTGAGAAAATCTAGTGCTCACATATTGTGTTTCACTTTTAGAATCAATCGACTTCTATTGTGGCTTGTGTGTTTGTTTGTTTTAGTTTCAATTGATGACTCTCTTAAAATAAGATTTGAACAATACAATAAGTATGAAAATAATTTTGGTTTTTTACTTCCAAAAAATTGAAGGAATTTGATGAAAGAGATCTTAAGTTGTGTTGTCGCTGTCTTAAATCCGTACTTAAGTATGGTGAACGATTAGATATTGACGCCAATGAACTTTATTTGGAGTTAAAGTTGGTTGACAAGTTCTTACTGAGTGAAACTACTAACCCCACCGATGTTTTAAAATATATGAAAAAAGTTAGTTGCTTTCTTAATGCAATTAATGCATATAAAGTCTTGTTGACTATTTGTAACTACATAAAATTAGATGTTATATTATGTAACATCTCAAAAATAGTGATAAAATTTTTTATTTTTAAAATCATCAAAACCATACGTCATGTGTCTCAAAACCGACATAATACAAATGTATCAAAAACATCAAAGTAAAATGATCATCGATGCGACAATCATAAGGAAATAATGTGCGATCATGTTGGGTCATTCCCTTTCGAACTAGATATACCTAAAAATGTTAAACCATATAACCGTAAGCGCAAAGCTTAGTAAATTTCTCAAAATATCACATACTTTATAAATGGGCCCAGTCTAATATATAAATAAATGGGTCGGCCAACATATATAAATATGACCAACCCAACATACATAAATGGGCCCAATCTAAAATAATAATGGGCTAGGCTCAACATACATAAATGCGCCCAACCCAAGATACAAATGGGCCCAGTCCAACATAATAATGAGCTTAACCCAACATACAAAAACAAGAGTCACAAAGACAACTAGCACAATCCAAGGGGCAACATTGGTGCCTTCGACCCACAAGTATTGTGAGATGGCTCACCTCCCTAACGAAGTCAAAAGTCAACGGCACGCACAATCAGGAAATAAGTACTACACGCCACCTAGATCACCACACAAGATAAGCTTGTAGGCTATCTTTCTAAAACTAGAAATTTGACTCATGTCAACAAGTCAAAAGTCAAAGGTCAAAACTAAGATCAAAATTGCAAACAACGGTCTTCTAGGTCGTGGCCTCCCTTTGTCCATGTCGTGGGCACAAAACGCCAAAACAGTCGATGATTCCTCAATCGCCATGATGTAGCAGCCTAAGGCCACATCGTAGGAACTGGTCTGAACAACTTAATCGAGCTTAACATGTTTTCTTCCAATTTCAAGAGTTCCAAAGCTCAGATCTGGTCATTTCCAAGGTCTTAATGGATAAAGTTTCCAACTTTATTCCATGAGACATCCCTATAAGCCTATATCTAAATTTTAAGGTCCAAAAGGCAACTTAATGCATGGGATTTGACCATTAAGTACTTAATCCATGAAGTCTTCAATCCAAAACTTCTAGAAGGACTTTAGGGACCCTAATAATCCCTAAAAATGCAAACTTTATGGACATGCATACCCATGCATGTCCTTTCCCAAATTAGGTCAAAAGATGCAATATAACCTAGAGTTCAATCAAGATTTCCAAATCACCACGATTTCCTAGATCTATAAGATATAATGCTCTTAGGACATAGAGAAACCATAAAGTTGCAAACGTTATCTCTTCAACCCACACAAACCACGTCAAAGGGACCATAATATGACATAAATCCTACATCTAAGGAGAAATGCATTAAAAGATGGAAACTTGAGGAGTTACAAAGAGTCCAGAAGATACACACAAGTGAATGAGAGGCTTGTTTGTTGAATCAAGGAACCACCTCTTCTTCTTCCTTTAAAACCACAAAGAACTTGCAAAATTAGCACAAAAGCTTCCAAAAGGACTACGGTTTGGACAAGGAGTCATTTGAAGGTGGTGGAGGCTAAGGGTGGAGGAAACCGTAGCCATAACTTCCTTTTTTTAGGGCTTAAAATTTGAAAATTAAGGTTTAACCCAAAACGTTCGCCATATCGTGGCCACTTAGTGCAATGGAGTGGCACCCATCTAAAATGCACAGTCTCAACTAATTTGTCATGTCGTGGTGATGCCATCACCACGTCGTGGCTAACCAAGTTTTCATACATAAATGAAATTCATACATTGGGATTCGGATGTTACATATTATAAATATTTTTATTGTTTTTCTAACAATTATCAACTTATCATAGTATTACTAAATTTTATTTATATATAAAAAAGATTGTGTTTAGGGGCCCAAATTTATTTTTCGTACATGGCCTTCAAAATCATCAAGACGCCCTTATCGACGTTTGAAGCTGAAACACTGGAAACCAAACCGTTCTTTTTTCCGCCGCTAATTCTAAGTGCCCAACAACTAAAAGTGAGTGTCTTGTAGGCTTGGGAGGTGTGTAGGTTGATGTGTGTCTTGTTGGGAACATTCACATAAAACTTAATGAAGTCTTTCAATTGGACTTTAAGAGGTTTTTTAGATTAGATTATGAATGTTATGATTAATTCAAAGAGCTTGTTTAAGTTAAAACAATTTTGTGCATAGAGAATACTAGATATTAGTGTTTTCAAGTACCAACTTAGATAGAATATAACTTAACATCATTTCGTGATTTAACCATATAATCATATGAGTAAAACGTAGAGCCAGAACCCTCTTATTACTGAACTTCTTTTAATTCAAATGCATATACTTTGTTTACGTTTACTTTTATTCAGAACCCCAAATTTAACCATCATTTTACCTTGTGCAAAAGGATTTTGACATTTGTCACGTGACTTTTATGGTTCGATCATGTTAGTAGTGAATTATAAGTCATATTTTTACCCATTTAATTTGTAAGGCTAGAGACCCTTAGCACCAACCAAGAATTCATAGTCTTCATAAATCACCTTCAAAATTCAACATATCATCCCCACAGTCATCAAGTTCATGATTTTGAGGATGAAAGTTATTGGATGCTCTTATTCTCCTTTCTAAATGTTTCACTTCTATTCTAATATATATATATATATATATATATATATATATATATATATATATATATATATATATATATATAACATATTCTCATTTATTTTGTTCCATGTCATTTTGTGATTATTTTAAATTAATTTTTATGTCATTCATTTTATTAAATTCCTGATGGTATTTAAATGTAATATATATATATATATATATATATATATATATATATATATATATATATATATATTAATGAGTTTTCCTTCTAATATCAAAATTACTAAATTAAAGCCTTGTTAGGTACTTTTTATTTATTTATCTAAATTATTTGTTTAAATTTAAAAAAGAAAAAATATTTTTATTTTAATAATTTAATATTTTTCTCTTTTCTTATAAATTCAAACTTCTTAAATGTTTAGAAATTCATATATTTTTCTTTTAAATAAACTCATATAATACATAAATCTCACACCTAGTTTACTATAATTTTAGAATATTTACTTTGAAAGTTTTGTATTAATAGTATTCCATTTACTATAATTTTAGAATATTTACTTTGAAAGTTTTGTATTAATAGTATTCCATCTCCTATTTAACCGGAAAGTCTCGTTAATAAGATACAGATGCGTATCTACCAGGATTAAATATATATACATCTACTCTTAAATACCCTTTACTATTTTTCAATAATATTTTTACGTATATGATAATATGAATCAAATCAACCTTAGAGAATGGAGTAACTACTACTTTTAAATTATTTATTTCTCGATGATTTACATAATCATGAAGATATTCACAACCCATAACATATTTAATCCATATATACATAAGATCCATATGAAATCCAGTTGTATGCATTGAGAGCCCATATTAAAGTTTCCTAGCAACTTACGAATTACTACATACATTAATTCGATTAATAATACACAGATATATTATCATAATACATATAGAAGGACATAAGCTCATGGTAACTCTGTCCAGTAAGTTGAATGTCTTCAGTATTGACAGACACCAAACAAAGGTGGAGTTTCTCTAATTGCATCTCAATTCTTTATTAACAGAGGTAAGGGATCCATCAAAGACCCATTAAGCAAATTAACTTTAGCATATAAATAAGTACAACAATACAGCTCATGTATTTAAAAGCATTAATTTTTTCAGCAACAAACATTGCAAGTAAAAAAAGTACTGCAAACAACCCCTTAGAAATCATATGAAACTTCGATAAAATATGTCCCAGTGATCACCTACATACATCATCACAACATTGTAAACAAAAAATGTCATCCTGATTATATCATAACATTGCAGAGGGATACGTGCAAGAAAGATGAAATTCCTCTAGTTGTGGTAGCTTTTTGATTGCCCAAATGAACCCTCCGCTTACGAGATCATAATCGTAGTTCTGAATGTAAAGACGTTTCATCTTGCTTGATCTGTTCATATAAATAAAAGATTTTCATAAATAATGGCGAGTATGTGTGCAGAATGAGTATGAGATTGGATAGGGATGAGAAGGGGAGGAAAGTTCAACCTACCGTTGCACAGCATAATCAAGGATAGGGATGATTTCAAAACCACCCTCGACACTGAAATCAATCAATTCCCCACAGCTGAGATCAACTAACTTCGTAATCAAAGTCTCAATATGGAAATTCATACTCCAACGATAAACCTGTTTTCGCATATCGATGACCTTCCACATCGCCGGATCTTTGCAGATTTTCTTCCAAGTTGTGCATACTTTTGATGCGCTTTTGAGTATCTCTAAATAACTCAATCTTTGAAATATATTTTGTTGAACACGAATATTTTATATGGGAAACAACAAGACTTTTATTAAGACACTTAAGGAGAACTTACACTTTGTGAGACTACTACACACTTTGCTTTCTTTGTGGCTTTCTTGGATACTTAGATGTTGGATTGATTTGGAGCAAATGAGCTCCACACCTATTTATAGGTGTTTCCACCTCCTTATAGGAAGTTTCTAGATCTTCATAGATTCATGACTATTCTGGAACTATCTACCATATTCTATATCAATTACAAGCTTTTATATGTTTCTAGAATATTCTATAATGTCCTAGATAAGTATAGACATTCTTGTGCCTTCCATCGTGTTCTAGAATGTTCCATAGCCTTCCAGGGTCTTCCATATCATTCTAGAGTATTCTAGAATCTTCTAGCATCTTCTAGACTTCTCCATAGAATTCCATAATGTTCTAGAATCTTCCAGATCATTCTAGAACATGCTAACTTGTTCTAGATAATAACATGATTCTATCAGGCTAGTGATGACCTTCAACACTCCCCCTCAGCACTAGCCCCCATTCTTTGTATCATGTTGAGCTGAAATCTAAAACCTTCATTTTTTTTCCTTTACTCAGCCCTTTGGTGAATAATTCCGCTATTTGTTTATCAGTCTTGATCTATCACATATTGACTTCTTCCTTGAGAACGTTTTCTCTTCCACATGCTTGGTTTTTTCTTAGTTGTTGTAGTCGTTGCTTCGTATATTGTTTTCGTAGTTGACAACGACATTCGTGGTTGCATTTTCTTGCAGCATAATATTGTTCCTTACTTTGTTGAACTGTCTTGTGTAGTTTCTTATGCCTCCCTTTGAGAAACTTGTAAGCATGTGAGTTGTCCCTTTTACAAGCTTTGAAAAATTCCCACAATATTAACATGTTATGACGTGATCCCTTATTGATCTGCTCATCTCGTTTAGATGTTGCTCTGTTGAGAAATTCTACTTTGCTCTTACGAATTAATGTGTTTTTCTTCTTTTTCGCCTTATCCAGTTTCTCCATCACATGTTCCATTTTTCGTCTAAGATGAGACTTTTAATGCAACTCTGGTGATGTCATGTTATTATTCTCCTTCGGAGCATCCATATTCCAATGAACGTCTTCCTCCTCCAAGGTTGTCATAAACTTTGTCTCGCTCTTCTTGAGACCTTTGTTGAGTTTCATAGTTGATAGCATTCGGGATCCAATCATATTTCTCTTTAAGGGTACAATGTGAATTATTGAACCCTTAGTGATACGCATGGTATCGTCTCTCTCAAATGACCAGGGTCGTACATTGTCTAGAAAATCCATTCCCAATACCATACGATAGTCATCCATATTCACCACTGTCAAGTCTGTGGTGCCTTCCCATTCTGCTATCTTAAGAGGTACTCTATATGCAACACCAATGATAGGCTTGGATAAAGAGTTGACGACTTTCAAACGGCCTGGCATTTTGGTGTATTTGATGCCCAACTTCTTAGCTTGATCTTCAGCAAAGAAATTATGGGATGCACCTGTATCTACCAATGCCTTGGTGTATCCTCCATTTACCCTGGCATCCACGAACATTAGCCTTCCTCTTTTAGTCTTATTCTCTTCTATAGCACATAGTGCCTCAGCATCCCATTCATCATCTACTTCCTTTTTGGAAGTTACTACATTGCTTTCCACAGACTTTTTCTTTGACCAACAATCCTTGGACATGTGGCCCCACTTTCCATAATTGTTGCAGCTGCCTTCGAACCTCCTCCCCCGAGAACTCTTATTGTCGGTCTTTTGAGATCTCCATGGTTGTGAGGTTCCTTCCTGACTCTTCCCTTTGTCAGCATTTTTGTATCCTTCTTTAGAAGGTAGCTTGAAATTCCTTCGACTTTTACTTGTGTAGAGTGCTTCTTCTTCACTTTTTAGCCTGATGCCTCCCATTTGCTTAGCCATAGCTTCTTGGCTGGACAACAAATTCTCAAACTCTACAAGTGATGGTTGAGCGGGCCATCCTTGTATAGCAGTAACAAAGCTTCTATATTCCGACCTCAGTCCATGGATAATGATCCTCTTCATTCGAGCTTCTGCAATGACGGATTGCAGATCTAGTTCAGTAATCTCCTGACATATCGACTTGACCTTGTGGAAATATTGAGCAATCGTCATGTCACGTTGTGAGATTGATAATAGCTCGTTCTCCAAAAGTTGTAGTCTCGTATCATTCTTCTTTGAGAAAAGCGTCACAAACGTGTCCCAAACTTCTTTCGGGGTGTTCTCATCCCGAATATGCTCCAACATCTCTTCTTCAATTGTGGTCTTCAAGGCAAACATTGCTTTGCCTGCTTTGATTTTCCATTTGCGTAAAGCACCATTAACGTCTTCCTCTGGTGGCGTAGTTTCGCTTCCACCAACGACCTCCCATAGATCTTGTCCTTGTAAGTAGGACTTCATACATGTTTCCCACGTTTTGTAGTTGTTATTGTTGAGTTTCTTGATTCCTCCGACGACTTGGAGATCACCCATCGTGTTGGCAGTACCTCAGTAATACCAAACAAGCTAGTTTCGATACTAAACTTGCAGAGTCACAAACTACTCACGATACAACGAGAATCACTCATTCTCACTATCAAGAAACGTTGCTCTGATACCAGATTGTTGAACACGACTCTTTTATATGGGAAACAACAAGACTTTTATTAAGACACTTAAGGAGAACTTACACTTTGTGAGACTACTACACACTTTGCTTTCTTTGAGGCTTTCTTGGATACTTAGATGTTGGATTGATTTGGAGCAAATGAGCTCCACACCTATTTATAGGTGTTTCCACCTCCTTATAGGAAGTTTCTAGATCTTCATAGATTCATGACTATTCTGGAACTATCTACCATATTCTATATCAATTACAAGCTTTTATATGTTTCTAGAATATTCTATAATGTCCTAGATAAGTATAGACATTCTTGTGCCTTCCATCGTGTTCTAGAATGTTCCATAGCCTTCCAGGGTCTTCCATATCATTCTAGAGTATTCTAGAATCTTCTAGCATCTTCTAGACTTCTCCATAGAATTCCATAATGTTCTAGAATCTTCCAGATCATTCTAGAACATGCTAACTTGTTCTAGACAATAACATGATTCTATCAGGCTAGTGATGACCTTCATATTTGCCATTAGTTCTTCAGGCAATTTCAGCCAATTTGGAGGTCTTTCCATTGTCGACGACTGAGGTAGATTGAAATCCGACAAACCTTCCGTTACACAAATGTCTAGAATAGTAGAAATTGAGTTCGTTACTCATTAAAAAACACGAATAGAAGACAGTTCATAGTTAACGAATATATATACTAATTTGTGGCATATTATACATAAGAAACGCCATGGAAAATTAAGACAATTTGTGTAAAGAAACATAAGAACTCAAAAGAAAACCACATATGATTGATGAAGTGTAAATCATGTTATGAACAAGTTGCAGCATCGTAGAGTTTAAGACGCAATTTCAACTGATATCTAAGAGAATTTGTGAACAAAAAAAAGATAAATAACACCAATTAATACCTTTTTGTCGATTAGAAATTCTGCATACAGTTCAAGTTGAATCGACGATGCAGGATTCTGGATGCAAGGAATGAAAATGATCGGATAGAAGAAAAGTTAAACTTCTTTCCCGGATTTACAGAAAGCGGGAAAGCTTTTTCATAGAAGTTTTCCCGCCATAACTGCTTTTAGATTACAGAGTAAATTGCAGAAATGGTGGTCAAAACTTTCGAATAATTGATAGTTCGCATCTTTGTGGTTTTCAAAATTTGCAGTTTTGGTCCCTATTCCATGTAAAAAAAGTAAAGAACTATTTTGCCATTTATAAAGTCTTTTTTATTTTTCATTTTTGCTTATTTTTCTTACAAAAGCAAATAATAGTATCAATACTTTGCATTTTGTCAGTCATTATTTTATTTTGAATAAATACATATTTATATAGGGCCAATGTGATGGAACCTAGAAATGATTAAATGGGAAAAATGGCAATCTACTTTGTTATTTTGTTTTACCAATAACATCCTATTTTGTTAATTTATGTATTATAGCATCATACTTTAATTTCTTCATATTACTCTAAATAGTCTACCCAAATATAGCAATTTCATTCCTTTTATGGGTTAAATACAAGAAGTAACAATATACTCTTATTGATTTGTTTATCAGATCATTTTCATTTCTACCTATTACAACAAAAGCCAAAGAATAAGAGGCAATCCAATGATCGATTATAAAGAGGATAACCAGAATTATAAATTTTATGTAATTTTCTTACAAACGGGCTTTCTTTGTTTGTTCATCATAACATCCTACTTTCATTTTCCATAAATAATCAATACACATCAATAATAAGCACATAAAATTTGTGCTTCTATGAATCATACCTTTATATTCTTCCTAAACAATGACGGATATCAAGAAAATTACTTTTCTGCTTTACGAAACGAGAAAATCATCCAATATGAAGACAAAAAATTCACTGAAACAATTAATAAAAAAAACTAAATGATACTGGAGCAGGAGAAGAGGGAAATCAATGGAAACAAAAGCATATCCGAAGCCAAAGCCAAAGCCTAGATTTGTTCAAAAATGAAATTAGACCCTACCTTCATTCTCTTGCAGCATATGGCGGCAAACAGTCGTAGAGAGAGGGTGCGATGGTGAGTGTGGGGGTGCGCGTAGAGAGATGAGAGGGTGAGTGGCGGTGGTGTTGATGGAGGTTGACGGAAAGCAAATCGGCCATGGTGATTGAAGCAGGGGATGACGGAGTAGAAAGGTATAAAATCAAGGCTTAAAACAAAACGTATCTCACAGAAATGACTGACGGGTAATTAAGGATTTTTGAGGAGGAAGATGATGTGGAAAGGGGATGCGGTGTCAATTTGAAGTAGCAAACGTGGCTCCTTGAAACAAATATGTGAATAGTATTTAAAAATGTGTGAAACAAAAGGTATTATATTTTTTAAAGTTATTTATAATTGACAAAACTGTAAGATTGGTACCTGTGGTATTTAAAAAACTTTGGATAGGATCTAAATTTTTTTTAACTTGCACCGAAGATCCAAAAGCAAGGTTTTTTCTAGGTTTTTGGTCCTGATACACTTGAAAAGTCGATTTTACCCTTTTCATTTCTTTTTTCTTTTTTCTTTACTTATTTTGGTATTTAAATAATTAAAAATAAAAAAATAAAATATCACCTAACCCCCCCCTCTCTCTCTCTCTCTCCCCCTCTCTGTAAACAATTTCATGTGTGTTATTCACCTATGATCGTGCCAACAACCAGAAATTGCTCGATTCCAGCCATAATACATGTGCCGCCACCATGCAAGTCCTTCGATCCACCGATATCATCCTAAACCTCACATTCGACCGTCTCATTCGTGCATGGTCTGATTCTTATCTCCTCAGCGTTGCATCACACGCCTCATTCAACAACCATCTTGTCTTCGATTCCTTAAAGAAATTGTGAAGTAAGGAACATACGCAACCACAACTCTTTGTATTGTTAGTTTTGCGAAATTGTCGATTGAAAAAAGAGAATCATTGGTGAAATTGGTCCCCCATTCTCTCTCTCTCTCTCTCTACATATTTCTAGTCAAACTCTCACCCCTTTCTTCTGAAGAACCCTAAAAAGCAATCTCACATTTTCTAACAATTAGAGGTTCTAAAATCTAATTCACCCTAAAATTAGTTGTAGGGACATGAGCGGAAGACCTATTGATGGTTCATTTGTTGTTGAATTGGGCTGTGGAAAGAAATTGACGGATGGGTATACATTCACTACCAACAGAGGCAGAAATGGGTGATTAAGGGTGTTGGTTTTGCTCTCAAATCCTTATCTGTCGCCACCTATATTTCTCCTTTCCCATACCCCCTCTGATCATCTTGATGGTTGTCTAATCTTCTAGGGAATAATTTAAAAACCCACACGCACACACAAATCAGTATCTGATATCTTCATATGGTGTTTAAGATCAAGTTTACGCAGCAGTTTCATATAAGAAATC